GTAAAAAACAAAAATGCTGAGCGATTCCGGAGCCAACACCCTACTGTGGTAGATGCCATCATCGAGGATTCCTTTGTAGATGATTGGCTTTAAAGTGCGCAAACAGAAGAAGAAATGATACGCCTTGCTTCGATCGTACGTATGATACACGCCGATGGTGGATTCGAAATGAGAAGTTGGAAATCGAACTCTGCAAATGTGTTACATGCTTTGAGTGGACAATCTAAACAAGATAATAAACGTATTGAAAATCCGGGCACAAATCAAGAGAAAGTACTCAGAATGAGGTGGTCTCCGACTGATGATGTGTTAACGTTTTCCGAGAAGTTTTCCAAAGAAATTTTAAGTAAGAATAAATCTCCAACCAAACGCGAGATCCCTCGCGTGAGAATCTTTGACCCGCTAGGCCTTTTGGAATTTTATCTTATCTACGCGAAAATATTAATGCAAGAGATCTGGCGGTCAGGCGTTACATGGGGCGAGACCATTACGGCAGAACAAGAAGAAAAGTGGTGGATTTGGTTACGCCGCTTACGGTCAATATCGAACGTACGTGTCCCTCGCTGCTATACCCTTGTTAACTCCGCTCAAAAAATTGAGTTACACGTATTTGTTGATGCCAGTGTGGACGCCTACGCAGCAGTGGCATACTTACGTGCAGAACAAAAGAAACGATTCGCTTGCAGCATGGTGGCAATCTTGGCTTGCGATTGGCAAAATTTTTATCAAAGGAACTTTCTGTTTCTCTTGATCGCCGGGTTTCCTGGACTGATTCCAAAAATGTATTGTACTGGATAAGGTCAGACGCGATAAAGTTTCGGCAATTTGTGGCTGTACGAGTAGGCGAAATATTGGAAGATTCTCTGGTCGAAGAATGGAGGTGGGTTCCATCATCAGAAAATGTGGCCGATGAAGGGACCAAGTGGTCAAAAGAACCGATATTAGACTCTGGTACGCGATGGTTTAAAGGCCGCACTTTCTTAACTCTTTCAGAAGATAAGTGGCCAAAAGGGAATCTCGATGGAGAGTCGGAACGGATGCTCCACATAGAATTAAAGGATAAATCGCCGTCGATTCTGAAATGCATAAGCCCCGATCCCCAACGTTTCAGCAAGTGGGAGAGACTACGATATGCGCAAGGCTATGTATTACGTTTCCTCAATAAAATCGCGTTAAAATCCTTGCAATCGGTCAGCATTTTCAAGTTGCTAAGCAAACTAGACATAGAAGGATACGAATACACTATAATTCGTAATTGTCAAGAAGAAGTGTTTGGTAATGATATTTCACGCCTGCTTGTGGGAAAAAACGTTCCTCCGAATAGTAATATCTACAAATTTCCTCCCTATTTGGATGAATATGGTATTTTGAAAGTGGGAGGCAGAATCGACGAAATCAAAGAGGTGAGTTTCTCAGTAAAGCGGCCTACGATATTGCCCCGCCATCACCAGGTCACGCGTCTAATTGCGGATTTCTATCATCGTAAGTTTTATCATTACCACGTCGAAATCATAGTGAACGAGATGCGCCAAATGTATTGGATTCAGGGCTTGCAAGCACTAGTAAGAGACAGCGAGAAATTACCAACTGTGCCGAAGCAATCGTGCAACGCCGCATCCACCGGAAATGGAAGTTTTAACAGTCGAGAGACTTGACGTCTTTACTCGTCCCTTCACGAACACNGGTATTGGATTCAGGGCTTGCAAGCACTAGTAAGAGACAGACGCCGCATCCACCGTTTTAACAGTCGAGAGACTTGACGTCTTTACTCGTCCCTTCACGAACACAGGTATCGACTATTTCGGCCCAATTGAGGTAGTAGTTGGGCGGCGACGGGAGAAACGCTGGGGGTCCTCTTCACTTGCCTTATAGTACGCGCAGTGCATATCGAGTTGGCGACATCGCTTTCAACTGATTGCCTTTTGCTTGTACTAAAACAGTTTGTTGCCCGTCGTGGTGTGCCGGTATGTATATGGTCAGATAATGGCACTAATTTTCGCGGACCCCGTCGCATATTAGAAGATAAAATAAAGAAATTATCTCCTGAGGAACTCGAAGGTCGTCGTCTGGAGATTAAATGGAAGTTCATACCACCTGCAGCTCCGCACATGGGGGGTTGTTGGGAAAGAATGGTTCGTTCAGTTAAATCAGTACTTATGGACATATTACCACCGGCTAATTTACGAGAAGACATACTTAAAGCGGCTTTAGCAGAAGTCGAATTCATTTTAAACTCCCGACCGCTTACATACGTTCCGCTTGACTCCCCAGAGGCTGATGCGATAACTCCCAATCATTTCCTTTTAGGTAGTTCAAGCGGCGAAAAGATACACTACCTTGAGGAGACTCACCATTCAGCATTAACCAAGAATCTTCGGGTCTCTGGACAAGTGGCCGATCAATTTTGGAAAAGATGGTTGCGGGAGTACTTGCCTTGAGTACTTACCTAATGGTTCGACAGAGCTACGGACCCAATACGTATCGGTGATGTGGTGATCATCGTTGACGAAAGCGTTAAAGGAAATACTTGGAAAAGAGGAATCATTGTAGATATCAATCAATCGGGTGACGGTGAAGTACGTAGTGCTGTGGTCAAGACCAATGAAGGATTGTATACCAGGCCGGCCGTTAAGCTTGCAAAGCTTGATGTACGGGGTGAACCACATACAGCGGAGCAGCTCGAAGTTCACGGAGGGGGGTATGTTACTCTTCTTCTTGCTTAACGCCATCGTATGAAACTGATCGGTATTGCATTTATTGGTCCGCTTTGTACTTGTTCTCCTCAACTTAGCTTTCAACATTAACTTTGTTTTATTTATATTTGCAAATCAAATTCTTTCTTTTGGATTTCAACTTTATTGAAGAAAGGTGTGCCTCAGCACAAGAAATACAAGTGTAAGAACTGTTTTATACATATTACATATTAATTAATTGAATAAATATAGATTTTAGCATAATTACCAGCAACTGGATAAGCTGAAAATACGTTTTTTGATTTGCTCGCACTATCTTCATTAAGGGTTAAATGCTGCACTTTTGTAAAGATATCGACCAGTATAACCATTTTTGTTATATACATTTTTTCGTGAAAGCTGATAGTTTACGAGTTACTAAAAGGTAGCTTTTCTTTTTCCAATCGGGTACAGCATCCAATGTCCCAAAAATCGAATCTTAAGATAAAGTAAAGAGAAATCTTTCAGAAACAGTGCTAATGGTGTATTAAAAAGTGTTTTCTAGTGGAATGGGAGCCAACATCAAAAATTTCAAAAAAAGTGACATTTTGAACGGTATTTTGAGTGTTAAGTTATTGTTGTTGTATAGTTTTCCTATATTATAAGATCATTTATCTTCACGATAAAAAACTTTGTATTCCATTACCTCTTTTGTAAACGAAGATCGACGATTTTGAAAAAAAAAACTAGTGTTTTGCCTATAGTGCGCCGTCCATATGAACCCTGTCAACGGAACTTCATTCACTTTAAATGAGTTGTAATAGCAAGTTTATGAGTTATACAGAAAGTAATTTGGAAAAAATAAAGTGATAGAAGTTAGAAAAACGTGTGGGGAACACAAGAAGTTGTGTATTTTGAAAACATTAGAAAATATTTCCAACTATTGATTCTTTTTTCTAAAGATTCGAGTTTCTAGATTCTGAAAAGTGTTTTAATGATTGTATTGTTTGATATGGAAATAGTAAAATTTGCTATTGGCAAACGTTTGGGAGGTAGTCGTTAACAAAGGGGCAGTAAGGGCCAATTTCACGGTGCGTAGTTCACTCAGAAACGGCAGTTAACTAGATATTTTCAGTACAAAAATCTGTAGTTAACTGCCGATTCTGAGTTAACTACGCACTGTGAAATTGGCCCTAAATAGTTCAATGGTTACCGACATCAAAATGAAAAAGAGAAATAGATTAAGCGAAAAAGCATTAAATATGTGTAGTCAAATCTAATTTACTCAACCAACAACCTAATTGTGCGACTTAGGGCCAGTTTTTCAGTGCACGGCTGTGGTTTAAACATAGTTTAAACGCCCAAGCTGGCTGGTTTAAACTACTGATAAACTGATCAATTTAAACGCGAAAACGTGTGTGTAAATTATTTTTGTCTTTAGAAATTTTAAAATTGAGAAAATATAATGCGTAGGTATATTAAAGCGGGCCACTTTGTATGGGAGATTTTTTCGACTATACGCATATTGCACATACATACGTGCATATATGTAATACTCCTATATTGGCAGTAAGAGCTAGTACCGTCCGAAAACAGTACAGTACAGATATATCAATAAACACGTACGAAAGAAAAGGAACACATACGTTTATAAATAAACATGTACACGACACATTTACAAAAACGGCACTCAAGTACACAATGCGTTGATAAAAACAGCGCTAGACTGTCTCGCTTTGATTTCGGAATGCTTACACATTGAAATGTTAGCTTACTACTAATTCTAAGCAACTTTGCCAAAGAAACCATGGCTCTAAAATCAATTTAGAATTTGCCAAATTTCGAAAATAGGTTTCTTAGAACTTTGCTGTAGTGTCGTAAAGAATTGTTAAATTTTGCACAAAAACATGCTGTAGGGGTTTTTTGGTATGAGGAATCCATTTTTGCACTTTTTTTTTCTTAAAACCAAGGATGCATTGTAACATTAATTTTAGCGTTTAGCAAAAAAAAGCAGTCGTTTCTGCTGAAACGATTTAGTTTTTTTATCGTTTAGGTTGTTACGGGTTCCCTTGACGCTAATGCAGACACATTGAATAGAAGCTTATCCGTTGACTAATCTCACTGAGGACAATCGCCTTTGCCATATAGTGTGCACTCGCAGTAATACCAGCTGCTTCAGTCTCATGGGTCCGGTTAATTCGTGGCAGGGAGGGCGAAAGGTTTCTACTATACGCACGCGTCCAAAAAAACCCACAAACAAGAAAAAGATTGTTTGCACACTGAAAGAAACTACTACGAGGAAAACAAACTAAAACGACGAACCGACACGCCTCTACAATAATCTCTGCAATTCCTATTTAATCGAAAGGTTAAGCGCCTAGCAGCTTAGAGATGTAATTTAGGCTGCTCTTATTCCCCCCCTTCCATGGTTTCCGTAGATTTTTGTAGAAACCCCTTTTACCCGCCAACAATTCCTTTAGGATTTCAACCAAATTTTTTTGTATTTACCAATCCATGACATAGAACATTATGGAAGAATACAAGTGAGATATCTTAGGGTTGACAGATAGTTGACAGGGTGTTCAATATGGCGATGACAGTGTGAACAATATGGCAGCCAATATGGCATACAACACCGAATGGCCCGAAGTTGCAAAACTATGACCCGAATGAAACGCTTCGTGAAAATCCAGGGTTGCGAAGTGGTATTTTGTTGGAAAATATAAGCCAGGATTTTGTGCAGCGCCGAATTTTAACAAAAGAGGGTTTTGTGTTCTCAAGATGAACAGAAAAGGGTTGCTGTGCTGTTTCGTTTTAAGCTTATTTTAATCTTAAGGTATCTAATTAAATATTAAAAGGAGACAAAACTTAAAGCAAAAATTTAAAATATATGTACATATCTGAAAATCTTAAATAAAATATATATTTTCACGAGAGATAAATTAAATAAAATGGGTTAACTTTAGGGGAAATATACTTATCAGATTGGGTCAGATAGCGCTTTTACGTTATAAATAAAAATAATTCCTACTTAAATTTTATATAATTTTGGGGACGTATTTCTAAGCTCACTCTGAGATCTGTGAAATAATACATATTTATGTGCATATATTGTGTTGATTATGCTCTAAATCGCTAAACAATTCTTGCAGCAATCAGCACCATTGGAAAGTGAAGTGACAATAGGCTGGTTTTCTTTATAAAGCAAGTTTTAATTTCGAATTATTTCTATAATAAACTACAATTATTGTTTGTTTCCATTTCTGTCAACCGCGCCAATTATTTATTAAAAAAATGTTGTTTAAAAATAGCAGATTTTGTTTACTTTTGAATAAGACTTTATCGAGTGCGCTATAAATGCTGTAAAGAAATATATGTTGAGTCCAATCGGTTTTTTGCTAATGCGGTTCTTGTGTAGGTATAAACAAGGTATATTAAAAATGAAAGGCATGAAAAAATATCATTATTTTCGTATTTAAAATTAATCGGAATTTTATGGGGGGTTATAAAAACTCGTTTTAATTGAAACTTTGTTTTTTCGGCTATATTTGTTATTATTTATTGGCCCAGATGTAAATATTGAATGAAATAACATATTTTAAATATTTACGGAACTACCATTTGTATGCAACCCTGCCTATCCTATATTCAAGTAGATGTAATTCGAAAAATTTAAACGGATTTCTTCAAATCAACCTGAGCTGCGGACATATTGCGAATTCATTTTTAAACATTAACCACTACATTATATTAGTATTAAATACTTTCAATTAAGAAATAATTCTTATTAGAAAATAAATATGAATCGTTTTATTTTAAATATTCCAATGTATATTTTTTGTTAATGCAGATAGTGCGGATTTAATGTATTTTATAACCGTTACATGGGGAACATAAATTTAATGCAGATTGCTATTAACAATTTTTACACATTTGACGATTGTAATCAGTTTCTTTCAAAACTATAATCTAAATGATTGCAAGGTGTATTTTTTACGATCAAAACAGATTCCAATATTAGGTATATTATGAAAATGCAATCCAATTTGATTTGAGTTATTCAGTTTTAGATACATTTAGATTTCTGTATTCGTATGGAATAGTAGTTTATGCCGGGAAGCTGGCTTTAGTATAATCCGGCATTCCCTTTATTATTTACAACACAAGGAATTTTTTGATGACCCTTAACAAGAATATGGACGTGCTAGTATCGGAATTATTTCTTGCACGTTTATTTGCCAAAATTTCTTCAACGGCTCGGCGCCAGTGAGCGCGAATGCCGCATTATACTAAAACTTGCCTTTTTTCCATACGAGTGGGGCACGTGCGAAATGCGGATTTTCCCAGTTGCAGTACTGCAGTAACTCGACACCTTCCTCACCAACAGCTCTGTCCTCTCTGAGCTTCTTAATGTAACTGCAAATAAAACATTGAAATTTAAGAAAAATTACTATCACAGCGTTTCACTTGTAGCGTTTCACTCTTGTAATATATTGGCTATCAAGCACCAGAAAATTTCCATCACGCATTCCATATGCCACCGATTATCGTGGATCAATTGAAATACTGTCATCACAGCTTTTTGGTACTCCAGCAACTGGTGTGTCTATGGCGGAGTTATGTGGAGCTGTTGCATGACTAAGATCAATTTGGATTCTTTGAGAACTGGCTTGTTTGTTGCGAGAGCTATTGGCATGAAATGTATGCAAATTAGATTTCCAAACGAGCAACTGTTGAATACAGGAAAAACTTTATATTATATGGTTCCGCTAAAGTGCACTACTACCGTGTATAAATTGGTCGACCTTCTAATAAATCAAGCAATCTTATTGTATCGTCATCGCCGCCAGTCACCAAGAAATTTCCACTTGGGTGAAATGCAACATCATTCTCCGGCGACGAATGCACTGTATTAGCTCGCCTTCAGCTATGTCAAATGTCTTAACGCGGTTACAACTTAATGCTAAAGCCACCAGACTACCCAGCAAAAAATCGGTAATCGCTTTTAGTGGTAACGTGTTCTAGAAGGCATAGCGTTATAATGCCTTCGAATTTTTTCGCTTCTTTTAGGCATTGCCAGTAATGCAAAGTAGAATGTCCTATAATATTTATTTTTTAATTCGTTTCTTTGCTTAATTTCCGGGAATGCAAAGTAGAATGTCCTACAATATTTTATTTGTTTCGCTTCTTTGCTTCATTTCGGGGAATGCAAAGTAGAATGTCCTACAATATTTTATTCGTTTCGCTTCTTTGCTTCATTTCGGGGAATGCAAAGTAGAATGTCCTACAATATTTTATTTGTTTCGCTTCTTTGCTTCATTTCGGGGAATGCAAAGTAGAATGCTGCATCGTAGTCAGCTGAAAAATGGAATGAATATCCAAAAATTCTTTTTCTACCGTTACTTTCTGTGGAAATTTGTCTCGCATAAAAATCATGTTTTGCTTTGTTCAATTAGCAGCGAAGTTGAAGTCAGTCAATGAAGTGACGTACAAGAGTGAGGAAGTACAATTTTAAGCTTAATTAAATATGCATGTATGTACATACCGATTTTAAAGAAAATCTAAATACCTAAATACATACATATGTACGCCGATTTATAAAAATTTTAATTAATTTTAACCTTTTAAGACATTTTCTGATTTCAATTTAATATAAATAAGTATGTACTTATCTAGGCATTCTACATTAGTTTCTCTGTAAGGCATTCTTTGTTCGCTTCTCTGGATTCTGTTTATCCATGCGTTCTCCCTTCGTTTGAAGGTAATGCTGCGGGTAAGGGCTTACCTCCATTGACATGCCCATGTTAAAATAAGGCCTTCTTGAAGCGAAACGGTAAGCGATTCCCATCGCCTAGCTCGTTTCCACTTTCGTTTCTGTGGTAATCGTGTTTTTTGCTGGGTACCGTCTGGATGCCATGCCAGCTGTCGTCCTATACCTCTTCCCCCGGTGAACGTTCGCATACATTCGCCTGAAAATGTATCGCAAATTCTTAACTTGTCATCGCCGCACGATGAAATTAACTTACCATTAGGGCTGAATTTTGCTGCGCGCACCCATTTGTTTGTCCAGTGAAAGATGTGTATTTTGAATCAGTATTTTGATGGCTGTTCGCCATTTTTCTAGTCTGCAAACGAATAAGCTGACGAAGATGCATACAAATTCAAGCACATTGTTGCATTCTACCGTAATTTTTAAAAGCTTAAAATCTAAAACATATGTGAAAAACTTTTATAAACTGAATATTTCTCATGTCGCAATCAAAACGAAATTTTATAAATAGCATTTTTAAAAAGCAATCATCTAATATTTTTCAAGTTTTTGGGCATATATGTTACCATTTGAACAACAAATACTACCAAGTTTTAAGAGACTATTTAATGCAACTCAGGTCAAAAAAGCGCAGTTTAGACCAAAATAAGCAACTGTAAAAAACAGATGATCGCAGCTGTGGCCCAGGATGACTGGTATTGCTAAGATATCTCGCTTGTATTTGTACACAATGATACATACTTTGCTTTAAGTCTTACGATACTATTGCTTACTCATCAACTCATAAGAGATGCACGAAATTCAGATATTTTTGTTCTTTTATAAACGATTTCCCAAGCTATTATGGAACTAATTAGGCAATTACATACAATCAATAATTGAGAAATAAAAAAAACGCAACCTGGTTGTTTTTTTTCTTTTTTTCTAATTTGGGTTTTTTTTGTTTAGGAAAATCTTCAGCAAGAATCGGTTCTAAGCAAAAAAAATAGATATTACTAGTAAACAGAAACTAAATAAAAAGGAAGAAGAAGAGAAATTACTTACAGTATGCTGCTTTATTCGTTGCGTGTTTTCGCTGCGCTGCTCCGAAGGCCTTCAAAAGATGCTGCTGCGTTGTTAGCACATGCATTAAATTAGTTATGTAGGTACGTACCTATGTACATACCAATGTACACATGTATGTTTGGGAGTGAAATAAAAACTCTCCTCGTTTTCCTTTCTTATATACACATATAAAAAAAACTCAACTAATGCCAATTGGAAATTTGTGCAGTTTCTTCGTTTCTCAATCCATCGATTTGTCTTTTAACAATTGCTTGAAATTCTTTACTCTCAATTTGTTACGTTTCTTTTTTTTCTTTCTTTGTTTTTTTTTTTGACTATGAAGAGAATCTTTTAAGAGAATTTTTAGAGAGGATAGTTTTTCTTTTTTTCTCTAACTTAGGATTCATGAACCATTTGGTTTCTCATAAAATGTATGCGTTACCAATTAGCAAAATTAAACAAATTAAGGTAAGATTAAATTGGAATCTAATTAAAAATTTCTGGGCAGCATCCAGAATTAGGATTATTATGATTTTTTTTCCATGAACTCTAAATGATTGCGGCTTGCACTTCCCGTACGTGGTTATATCAGCAAGTCTAATATAATTTATCTGCCTCACGGGAGCCTGCGACAGTATGATATAACCGGAGCAATGCGGTTCTGCCAACCTCTCCCTTAGAACAAGTCACCAGAAATTCCCATCCACCAGGTTCATAAATTCCTTGCGTTAAATTCTCGTTTAAAACAACTTTTACTGATTTATGATGGGCTATTAGCCATTCTCATAGGAAAATTTTACTTGGAGGGGAAATTTTACTTCTGGTCAGAACTTCTCTCCACGATCTCTGGTTAGCAAAAGAGACCATTTATTTCCGGAAGTCAAGCACGTCCCCCATTTTTTTCCAGTTCTTCTTTCCTCGCGAGTTGTCAAAGTCACAAGCCTCTCAGCGCCTTTTAGGACATTCCCTATAAACCCCGTTTCCAATAACGACAACTAGATGGCGATGTAGCGACAGACATAAGCTCGGATCGAATACTTAAAACCTAAACGGGTACTCATTTCGGTTTGTATGTATGACGCTACACACTCCCCCACTTAGATTGCTGGTGCGAGGATCACTCTGTACTATACTTAGCTCTTTCGAATGTATTTCTGGTGGTAAAACTCTCGTTTTCTCATATCTACGTCTTCTAGGTGATAAACACAGATTCCTCTGATCCCAATGATTTTTGCTTTGATGAACTTTGGAGCCAATTTGGCGCACAATCTTTTACTCGCATCACTCAATACAAAATTCCTCCTGAATACTATGTCACCCACTTTAAACGTCTGCGAAGAGCTTCGTAAGTTATACCGCTTTGCTGGGGTTTCAAACGCTTTTTGGATGTTTTCCCCAATAGTTTTGCGAACTAACTGCAATCTATCTGATCTCTCTACCATATTGCTGTCTAGTGAATCTAGCTGACGTAGAAGTTGGTAGTCTTTTGCATGAGTCATCATTTGTTGTCCAAACAGGGCATAATACGGAGAAAATCCAATCGTTTGATGATATGCACCCTTCAGAGCTTCGCTGATTTCGGGTAAATGCCTGTCCCAAACGGTTTGATCTCTTTGCAAATACGATCTGATCCCCGCAATTATAGAGCGATTAACACGTTCGCTGGCATTTGCATGCGGACTGTAAAGGGCGGTATATACATGCTGTATTCTTCTCTGGCTAAGTAACTGATTGAATTGTGTCGACTTGAATTGCTTTCCGTTATCGCTCCTAATTATTTCAGGTGTACCGAAAATACTGAACACCTGTTCTTGCAAAAAGTCACAGATAACCGAGGTGTGAAATTCATTGATTGGTTTCAGCAAAGGAAATTTAGTTATATGATCCAGGACTATTAAAATTCCTATATTTCCGCGCTTAGATCTGGGGTATGGTCCAAGAAGATCAATGTTAAGCTTTTGGAATGGCCTTTGAACTATATATTGCGTTGTCATAGGTGGTCGCAGAATTGTGTTTGCCGCTTTACTTTGTTTGCAAATCTCACACTTCCAAAAGAGATTTTTGCGCAGTCGAACCAAGGTTTTTGCAATACCCCCATGAGATTTATTCGGCGGCGCATGCGCGTTTTCTATCACTTCTGTAGCTAATGATTTAGGTACCCACAGCTTCCAATTATATGCTTCGTTTTCTGGGTTTCCATCCGCCCTTTCAGTGCGTTTGTAGACATGGTCATCCACAATGTGTAAATCAGGCAATCGAGATATATTACTGCGAATATACTCCTTCAGCTTTTCATATTCATCGCATTTGAACTCTGGCCTATCAAGGTCGACCAGGGGTTGAACATAAGACTCGGAAACCTCATTGACTTCTCTGGACACGTCTTCGAAATTTTGTCGAGATAAGCAATCCGGAACAATGTTTTGTGTACCTTTTCTGTGTTCAATAGTGAAACGAAATCGTTGGAGCTTCAAAGACCAGCGGGCTAATCTTCCAGAGAGGTCTGCCTGCCGCATGAGCCATTGCAAGCTTGCGTGATCCGTGATGATTTTAAATTCTTGTCCTTCGATGTAAGCCCTGAACTTCTTTAAACTCAGAATGACAGCTAAGCACTCTAACTCCGTCACACTATAATTAGTTTGTGATTTGTTCAATTTTTGGGAGAAGTACGCTATGGGAGTCTCGATACCTTCATCATTGGCTTGCGCGAGGACTGCCCCAACGCCTAGCTTGCTAGCATCTCATTGTAATATGAACGGTTTTCCATAGTCAGGGTAAGCCAACACGGGGGCAGTACATAATTTCTCTTTTACCGTATCGAATGCTTTTTGAGCTTCTGAATTCCAGGCGAATGATTTGGGTTTTTTCAGAAGATCGGAAAGAGGCGTAGTTATGGATGCAAAGTTATCGATAAATCGGCGGTACCAGCCGGCCATACCCAAAAATCTGCGCAATTGCTTAACGGTTGTAGGTGTTGGATAATTAATAACAGACGCAACCTTGTCAGGGTCCGTCCGAAGCGTCCCTTTTCCCACAAGGTAACCCAGATATTTAACCTCTTTTATGCAAAAATGGCTTATTGTCACGTGAATGGTAAGACCAGCCTTCCTAAGTTGTTGAGCCACTTCTAATAACACTGACATGTGAGTATCAAAGTCTGGCGACACGACCAAGAGGTCATCAAGATACACAAAAACTTGATTTTTGAGTTGAGGTGGTATGACTCGATCCATTAGACGACATAAAGCTTGTGGCGCATTACAAAGGCCAAATGGCATTACGCGATAACGATATAATGGACGGTTAGGAACCGTAAAGCACGTGAGATCTCGTGGTGGTATCTGCCAAAAGGCGCGACGAAGGTCGAGAGATGTAATAAATTCGGCTTTTGGTAATCTGCTCAGAATGCCCTCTATGTGCGGTAGAGGGTAACCGTCTTTGATAGTGATACTGTTAACTCTTCTTGAATCTAAACATAGACGGACTTTATCGGACTTTCGGACTAACACAACTGGACTCGACCACGGACTGTTTGGGGCCTCTTCAATTACCCCCGAGCGAAGCATCTCGTCTATTTCGGCATGGACAATTTTTTCAATGGCGGGAGAGATAGGGAAGTATCGTTGGTTGATCGGACAGGTATTGGGTTCAACCTTTATTTCGTGCTCCATTAATGCGGTTTTGCCTAACCCGTCTTTTTCACAATTGGGAAATCTTGATTTTACAGTTTCCAGATATCTTTATTGATCTGCCGGTAGTGCAATGTTGTTTTCATCTCTCGTATTCTCTTTAAAACAAACATCGATTTGCCTGATCCTGATCCACACCTAATATTACTTTCTGAGACATGTCTGGTATGACAAAAAAATGAATTTCATGTGTATCTTCTTTGAACTTAACTTCCAGCGTGATCGTACCAAAAACTATTTGCTTTCTACCATCTCCGGTACATCTCCTTAGCTTATGAGTATTGCATACTTCTCTTGCCTGCGAGCTACCTAAGCAGGATACTTGTGCACCGCTGTCAAGAAGTGCCAGATATTCTCGATTTAAAACGGTTATTTGTGCATAGGGTCTCAAATCTACTCCTTTATTCCGTATGCTACCTATAACGTTTGAGATATTTTTACGGTGAACTTTGACATGTCTCCAGAAGGTGTTCATACGAATCGAAGAACGACTAGTCGGGGGTAGTGAACAGTCGTCTTCGTCAAATATCTTGGTTCTTGCTTGATTATATCTCTGCAAGCGAATTCCATAAGGGACAATGTCTGTTAATTTCTTTTGGGCAAAATCTGGTGCATTGGGGCGTATAAGTGCTTTTACTTCATTGTACTTGGGTCTTGGCGAGGAGTCACTTTCGACACCTCGCTCATCTTCAAGTTTCCCCGATTACATGATACACATTTTGGTTTGTAAATGCCTGCGGCCCCGCATCCGGTGCAAAATATAGTCCTTTCCTCTAAGCAATCGAAATAGCGGTGGCCTTCTTTCTTACAATTCCAGCATAGAATTTTTGCACTCTTTCCTCGCTGTCCTAACGCATCTACGACTGGATCGTCTAATTTGATGTCCTCCTCA